AGAGGCAGGAGGAAGATCCGACATCGAGGGGGGAGGAGAGGATATGGAGGAGGACGAAGCAGCTGAGGAGCTGAAGGGGGGGAAAGTTAGGACGACGAGACGCGACCATATCCGATCAAGACGAGGACGGGTTGGCCAATCAAGGACACGTGTCTACCCCCCCCTCTAGCCCCGTTCTCCTTTATTCATTCTCCTGCTCATCTTTCCTCCCTCCACCCATCGTGCCTCCTTGCCAGCCGAGGCCCCGGGTCCTCGAGATGGGCCTCGAGAACAAGGCCGCCGCCGTGGGCGACCAGGCCCAGCAAAGCCCTGTGTATGGGAACGGTGTCCCGTCGGGACCCTCTGGGGCCCCCTTCCTATCTCTGACTGGGGCCTCTCGGATTTCGGGCGGGGGACTCGAGGCCATCACGGGGCCGATCACTCGCTCCCGTTTCCTTGGCTTCGCGTTCCGAAGTTTGTTCTGCGGAGCTCGTGAGGGAATTCTGCGGGGCCCCGTTGGGGCCTCCGAGGGCGCGAGTTCCGTGAATATTCCGACTCAGGAGGGCCAGCCTCTAGACAAGGCCCGACGTGGCCCCAGGAACGCTTTCAGAGATCACCGATGGGGGGTCAATGGGTGAGGCCCGCGGGACCTTCATCTCTCGATCGTACATGTAGTGGTAACCGTTCTCGTCGTCGGCCGCGGGCCTCTTGAAGACCGAGGGCTTGCGCAGAACCTTGAGGTCCTTCTTCTCCTCGTTCTCCTCCTCGCTCTCCTCCCCCTCGCCCTCCTCGTCCAGTTCATTGTCGTCGGCATCTTCGCCAGCGTCGTCAGCTCCCGATCCGTCATCCCCCTCGGGCTCGTTCAAGAAAGGCATGACCCATCTCGGAGCCCTTTTGCCCGCTCGTTTCTTGGCTTTGCTGACGCCTTTAGCAACATCGTGGATCATTGCACGCATCCTCAAAGACTGTTTTTTGGCCCACAGTTTCAACTCACCACCTGTCAAGTGCCAACCCTTGTTCTCCTCCTTCCCAGCCAGCTCCGTAAATGCCTTCGTCGACGCCGATTGATTGATCGATCCGTTGGGGAAGGCCTCGAGAAGGTCTTTCAAGAAGGGGGTCCACTCCTTAATCGTATCGTCGTCCTTCGCACCCTCATTGAGTGTCTCTCTGTATTTGAACTTCGCCGCCGAAGACACCTGGCACGATTTTGCAATCACCTCTGTTCCTCGCCTCCACCCCAACAGTAAGCGATTCCTCCTACTCCTCCTGCTCGTCACCTTCCTCACCTTCTCTTTTTCATTATGTAATCGGGTCCTCCGTCCTCGTCCTCATCCCCCCCGTGCCGAACTCTCTATCTCCTCCCTCCTCCATCGCCTCCCTATTTCTCCTCCGCCTCCATCCTGGGTTGGTATATTCGGTAACTCCGCTGACGTGCCGGCTGATGATCTGGAACAGCCCGTCCGCGTCGTCACCCCGAACACGCGAGACTGCCGCCGCTGGGACCTCCGCCATATGGCGCGGCGATCCGCCAGCGGGATGGCACAAGCCTTGCTTGCGCCAGGGCCCTTGGTCCAAAACGGCCCTCCCATCAGGAGGGGGGGGGGGTGAGGGGGGTCCAACCAACCAACCAACCAACCAACCAACCAACCAACCAGCCAACCAAGCCAGCAGCCATGCCAATCACGAGTCAATCAGCCAACCAACCAGTCACGCAGACGACTGCCCTGCCAGCCTGCGAGCTGGGGCGGCCATCGAGCCCGACAGACGAAATTATAGCATAAACATGGCAACAACATGATCCACCCTCATACAGACAGCAACATAATTAAGCAAACAGGCTTTCTCTCAACCAACCAACCAACCAACAGCCCATCACTCACATCGATTCATATATATATATATATATATATATTCTTTTTTTTTTTTATTTGTTTGTGACATAATTCCTCGTCCTTCTTTTTTCCCCTGGCGGCGTTCATGCGCGAACGCATCCATGCGAAACGCGCTACCATAGATCATTTCCAATGGAAATGATCTATGGCATGAATATAAGGGTTAGACCCTTAAAATAAGGGTCCACGCGCGTGGTCCTTAAAATAAGGCCCAACGCACCACAGGGGAGTCCCAGCAAGCGAGGCCGGGCATTTGGGGAGATCCTCAAGACCTGGACGCTAGCTGGGAAACCCGTCCGCGAGCTACTCACAGTCGGCTGGGAGATGTACCTGGAGTCAGAGGAGGTCGCGGGGCCCGTGATCCCGAGCCGGCCCCCGCCCTGCCTGCGCTGCAAACGTATGCAGCAGGCTCAGCTCCCAACGCGGGAGGGCGCAGTCGGGAACCAGGAGCTCGAGGAGGAGGACTTCTCCAGCCTCGCACCGCTCCTGCGCAGACCCGCCTTCGCGTGGGGCATCCGCACTCGCGAGATCTTCGCAGGGACAGGGAACTGGACCAAGGCGATGCGAGAAGCTGGACTACAGACGGCCCCATCTGTCGAGTATTTCCAGGACCCCCTGGCCCAGACCGGGCCCCAGGAGGAGCACGACATCCTCGATCCTCAAGTGCGAGAGAGGCTCCTCCTCGACGCGGGGGCAGCGCCAGGCCCCGACGAGGCGAACGTCTACCAGTTGGCCCCCCCGTGCACAACCCACTCAGCCTGGTGCCTCAAGAACGGCGGGACCCGCACGTTTGAGCACCCGGACGGCGACGGGACGGTCCAGGCGGAGATCGACAGCAACATCATGACCGACTTCGCCGCCGACCTCTGCGAGCGCCTCGACGCCAACGATCGAGAGTGGATGCTCGAGAACACGGCCAGCGATGGACGCTACCCGAAGATCTGGGACAGGGCCAGGATCAAGCAGCTGCAGAAGCGCACAGGAGCACGGATTATCTCCGTCGCCATGTGCGAGTGGGGGCTAGGGCCCCCAGAGGAGCCTGCGAAACGGCACCGCAAGCTGACGTTCTGGATGGTCTCGAAGGGCCTCTACCCCTGGGCGCTCTCTCTGGTGAGGCGCTGCACCAACCAGCACGAACGCGTCGCCCTGGAAGGGCCTCTCCCCTACGACCTGACCCAGGCCCAGATCGACCACTACAACTCCTCCAAGCTCTCGCTCAGCCAGCCCGAGCAGAAGGACATCCTGAGCCTGACCAATCGACTAGCCCTGGCAGGCGTGCAGGCTCAGGGTCTCGCCGCAGATACCAAGACCCTGGAAACCCCACAGCTCGGACCCGAGCTGCTGCGCCCACTGAACGACCTCGTCGGCAAGCTGGGGCCCGTGAACTTCCACTGGAGCCGGGTCGAACCACGCACCGGGAAGGCCTTCGAGGACCTCCCGGAGGGCGCCGTGGCCTTTTACTACGGACGTGATCGAGCCAACAGTTTCGTGGCCAAGATCTCACACCGGTCGCCCCCGTGCCTGCACGGGGGCGGGCGCGTCCTCAGCGGAGCTCCCCCACTGGCCAAGGCACTGCGGGAGGAGTTGAGCATTCTCGGCTTCCAGGTCGGTCAGCGTGGACTACGTCGCACCCGCTACGCCGGCCAGTACCCGACGAAGCTGTGCGCTGCCTGGGCCGAGGTCGTCAAGGCCGCGGGAGCGGGGACCTCCCCCGAGACGCCCCTGAAGAAGCTTGAGCCCATCGTCACGACGAGGGCCGGAGACAAAATGGCGGCGGGAGCCGGTGACGGGGTTCACCTGGCGGAACCCCCCCCTCCTTTTCGCTTCCTGGACGGGCCAGTCACGGAGAAGGAGGCGGAGGAGGACCATCCAGCTGAGCTCAGAGGATGGCAATGCGCGAACAGAGGCAAGAAGAGAGGAGGGTGGAAACGCAACAAGGCGAGAAAGAGGGATCCCGACCGAGGAGCACCACCACCGGGCCCTGGAGGAGATGGCGGAGACGACGAACCTGGGGGAGACGAAGAAGGAGAGGAGGAAGAGGAAGAGAAGGAACCGCCCAGGAGGGTCAAGAAGTCCAGGCAAGCCGAGCAACAAGCCGATGAGCCAGTCAGGGTGATCCTTCCACAGCGTGGGGATCGATGGATACCAATCCCGGGGGCCCCCATGTACGCGCACGAGCTCCAGAGCGTCCTCATAACCTGCAGATGGCTGCGCGACGACGTCCTCAGCCCCGAGGAGCTTCGCCTGTTCGTCTACACCGACGAGGGGGACACCGCAGGAGCTGAGGGACCTCCCTTAGAAGACGACGATCGTGTCGAGCCCGGGGAACGCCTGATCCTGTGGATCGGGAAAGAGGACATCGGGAACTGGGCAGCCTGGGCGCCGCGCTGGATCAAGAGGGCCGCGGACGAGGAGCGTGAGGAGGCGCCGTGGCACCGCAGCGAGGCCACCCCCGCATCCCACCGCAGCGTCACGCTGAGGATCGCCGACCGCGTCAGCTCCCAGGGCTTTGGCAGCCCAGAGCTCGGCGCTGTCTGGAACAGGCGGGCCCCCCCGCCGCACTCAGGAGGGAGGCGTTTCCAGCAGGCTGCCGCCCAAGCCCTCCAGAGACAAAGCCGCGAGGCGCCCGCTGGAGGGTCCAGCAGCGGAGGCAGCTCAGCCGACAGCATCAAGCTGGAGAGCATAAGGAGGAAGCTCGAAGCTGCCAAGGCCGCCGAGGTAGGTGTCCTGGAGGAGGAGGAGAAGCGCATCAAGGAGCTGCAAATACAGCTGGCAGAGGCTAAGGAGCGCCGTCGGGCCCGTCGTGCGAGGGATGCCGGCAAGCGCGAAGCAGAGCAAGCGCGAGCCGGGCATCCCCGCCGGGCCAGCTCAGAACCCCCCAGCGGGCAAGGCGCGGCCACCCCTCTCGATCCAGCCTGGGAGGACGAGACCCCGCTGCCCTCAGCCATCCTGGATGGGGAGAACAAGTGCCACGAAGCGGAGTGCATCTTGAATAACCTGCTCGGGGTTCCAGCCGACGATCCCACGGGACCTGATCGGAGGAGGAGAGCGCGGGAGCTCCTGATCGAGGGCATCAGCTCCATGTTCGAAGACCTACCGCGGAGCTGGACCGGCACCCCCTACGAGGAGCAAGGCGAGATCGCGAGCGAGTACGTTGACATCCTCGAGAAGCTGACCCGCAAGATGGTGAAAGCAGGGGAGCTGGACGACACCCCCGCAAAGAAGCGCCAGAGAATCGTGTACGAGAAGGCGGAGGAGGAACCCACGAGCGACGACGAGGACGCCGACGAGAGCTCAGAAGACGAGGTGGTGGAGAAGCCGTACGCGAGGACCGAGGAGGGAATAGACCCCCCCCTCCCAGAGGGTCCAGATCCCCTGGGCCTCTGGCCCGGGCAAGCGGAGGCGGCCAGGCGGAGCAGGGAGGAGACTTTCCAGAGCTCTCCTGGGGCCAGCGGCAGCGGAGGCCCCGCCCCCGCCGCAGGCGC